TTGCCCTGAGGATGTATTGTTTGAGTACTTAACTTTGGATCATTGGAGAATATTCGCTGCTAGTTGAGTAGACAAGTTCAGTGTATTCCATTTCGCTTGAATAATTTCCATTTGGTGATCTAGACATAAGTTAAGTGTAGAAATTAGCTTAATGTTGTAGTGATGGATCATGTCTCCTGAACTCTTGTTTTCAGTTTGAAATATTCAATAAATTAGTATACACTTATTATAGTTGTAAAGCAGTACTCTCTGTACCATACACAGTAAGAAGGTATGAGTTCACTGTTTGGAATATTCAGTACAATACACAGTGCATTTCCACATTCCGTCATTCAAGTCTCAGATAGAATAACCAGTACTTAGCATAAAGAAAGTAGCCACTTTTTCTCCCTTACATTCAACATCAGTTTCTTCAGCCCGTCTCACTGGGTTTGCCCAGCAGTCCAGACTGAGCTTTGTTCTGTATAATTACCCCCGGCTCGCTGCTTTTGTTCTGGAATTAACATCAGCATTTTTACCTGTTGTGAGTCAGAATTGTGTATAAGAGCGGTTTTGTTGAGAAAGATCATATTCATAATTGGAGTCGAGTGTAGGCACTGGGCATGCTGGTCAGTGGTCAGGTAGTATAAACTAGAAGTAGATGTGTCGTTTTTTAGTTAGCTCAGTCATTCATCCTTCTTGTTTTGTCTGTATATATATTTACCATGTTCATTGTTCTGACTTCTGTGTCCATTACATGGCAGAACGTGTTTTTGTAACTTGATACCGTCTTGAAACGGTTTCCCAAGCCTTTAGGTTATAGTTGTGTTTGTAACAAATGTTCTATTCCTGCGATATTAACTTAGTAGTACATAGTAAGTTATTAGCAAGTTATTAGTAAGTTATTAGTAAGTTATTAGTAAGTTATTAGTAGAACGGGTCACTTAAGCAACATTAGTTACCACTAAAATCAGGAAATGCCGACAGCTGTACTTAGCTGCAAGTAGCAGTAGTAGTAGTAAGTAGTACTAGTACTACTAGTAGTAGTAATAAGTTGCTATCTAATGGCTGCTAAATAGTAATTGCTGCCGACTCACAGATTTGCTTCCAAGTATTGTGGTTGAAATGCCAGTATTCTCTGCAAATGCAGGCAGATTGTGGCCGTTCCAACAATTTCAACAACAATCCCTATCAGAAGAGCTTCTCATTTATACCCCTATCTTAAAAACGTTCTCCTCTCTCTGTTGCTCCGAATGTTACTAACTTGTATTTGTGCGCCAGCAGGTCACCTTAAGGCTGGGGGTTCACCCTGATTTTTTTGTGAAACTTGGTTTCGAGATAGCAGTTGACCAACAAACTAGGACCGGTGACCGAACTTTTGAGGGGGTCCCGGACCCCAACCGCCAAACGGTGCCCACGGGGCAGCCACGCCCATATTTGGTCCAAATCAGGCCCAATTTAGCCAAATAGCCTGAACATGCCCAAAACCCAGATTTTATGTGCTTTACTTGTAGCTAGTGGTCCCCTGAACTCGTATATGAAGTTTCATCAAGATTGGACAAAAAATGACTGAGTTATGAGCTAAAAACTATATGCCCATATTTGGGCATACGCACTAAATTTGATCGATTTTGGCCCATAAATTAGTCAAATATCAATATTTTTGAATGAAACTAACTTTATATGAAAGGTAAGCCTAAACTACACATTCTCTATGATTATCAGCTCAATATCTACCTAACTGTAGATTCTGTGTTCAAATAATCGCAAAAAATGTATAAAATCGCCCATATCTCAGTTCGCGATATTTGCAAAAGTGACTTCGCTCAAAACAATAGAACTCAATAGGGTATCAATATTTTTTCCTGAAATTTTCAGAATCAACGTAGAATCGCCTCATGACCTTAAGTTTTGTATTAAAATTTTGAGTTAGGCCTTTAAAAAAATTTGGCGGCCAAATTCTGAAAAATGCCCTCTCTCTCTCTCTCTCCCTCCTCTCTGACGTGTACATGCTTGTGTGCTTCCTTTCTTCCTGATGCTTCATGTGAGCCACATTCTTTTTAATAAAATTTGTAAATGAAATCTTCGTGTGTGGTTAATTATTTTTGTGAAACCCGCCGGCCCAGTTGTTTGCAGTTGTTCAATTAATCTCAGTCGTTTGTTTCAGTCTGTCTGGATGTAAATCTCTATGTGAAATATTATAATTTTCCGACAAGTCCGCAATATTTCACTCTCCTGAAAAGTGTCAAATTCTGATGAGAGGCACGTACCATCAAGCGATTGGCACGTGTTCTCACTCTTAATGGTAGGTACAAAAGAATGGCATTTTAACATTCTCCTCGCGGCTAGAATCGTTGTTGTACTAATCCTGTTGGTTTGTATTCAGAAAGGCGAGGATTTGTTTTTTATTTGAATTTGTTGTAATGCCTGGCCGTTCTATATTGAAAGATTCACACACCGAATGAAAAGTACAAAAGAATGGCATTTTAATATTCACTTAGAGCGAGAGAATACTAATCTTGATGATTTGTATCAAGAATGAACTGCGATTATTTTCCATTTGTTGCGCGAATATTTGTGTTATGGTTATATGATGTGATTGATCTGATTTTAGAGGATCGAATCCTCGGTATAATGTGTTGTATAATGTGTTACACAATGTGTTACACATGTGTGTTGTATAATGTGTTACACAATGTGTTACATAATGTGTTACACAATGTGTTACATAATGTGTTCCATAATGTGTTACATAATGTGTTACACAATGTGTTACATACTGTGTTACATAGTGTGTTACATAGTGTGTTACATAATGTGTTACATAATGTGTTACATAGTGTGTTACACAATGTGTTACATAATGTGTTACATAATGTGTTACACAATGTGTTACACATGTGTGTTGTATAATGTGTTACATAGTGTCTGACAGGTTAATTGCCTTCCCACCTGCTCCAGTATTAGTGCTTTCTAAACTGTTTCTGAACTACACCGTGAGCTGAAATTTAGCAGCAACCATTTTGACGAATGTTTTCATACGAACGTTTGCGTTAGCTCCAGTATGTCATACTTGTTACGAAGTTAAGGCTAAGCTGTGCACCGTTTTAAGTCAGGCCACGTAAGAGCGCTCTTATATTGTGCAATAGTTTGTAAAAGTTTTACACAGAGTGATTGTCTCACATGTTTTACAGGCTCTCATGATGAAGTTTTCCGAAGAATCCAAGCCTCATATTGTGTTTTCCTTTCTTGCCCAAATGTAACACTAAACACAGTTTGTGCAACATCTTGCTTTATTATCTCATAACAATCTCTGCTAGTGACCTGCAAAAAAGGTCCCAGACAGTATTATGCCTGTTCGTGCAGCATTGTTTCAAGAACCGATTATGCCTTAGCCGACTGGGTGCTTGTAATCCCTCCTAAATCTGAGCTGGTTTGGGCGATGATGCGGGGAGGCGTTACCATGGTACGAGAAGGGGTGACGCTTGTGTTCCTCCCTCACTGGGGGAGTCATGGTTACTACTGGTTGTCATGGTTACACCCCTACTGGGGGAGTCATGGTTACTACTGGTTGTCATGGTTACACCCCTACTGGGGGAGTCATGGTTACTACTGGTTGTCATGGTTACACTCCTACTGGGGGAGTCATGGTTACACTCCTACTGGGGGAGTCATGGTTACTATTGGTTGTCATGGTTACACCCCTACTGGTTGTCATGGTTACTACTGGTTGTCATGGTTACTACTGGTTGTCATGGTTACACCCCTACTGGTTGTCATGGTTACTACTGGTTGTCATGGTTACTACTGGCATGGTTGTCATGGTTACACCCCTACTGGTTGTCATGGTTACTACTGGTTGTCATGGTTACTACTGGTTGTCATGGTTACACCCCTACTGGTTGTCATGGTTACACCCCTACTGGTTGTCATGGTTACACCACTACTGGTTGTCATGGTTACACCCCTCCACCCCCCTCTGATACCGTCACCCCTCCCACACGCCAGCTATCCCTCCCACTCATCCCTCCTATTCTCTGTTTTACGTCGCACCCTCCAATATACGTCAATCTCTCGTGGCTTCTAATATTTTTCTTTGTCTTTGTGTTATATATATTATCTGCATTCTGCGTCGTCGTATCTCTTGACCCTCCCTGCTAGATTTGCTTATGTATGAGTATTGTATCTGGCAACTCTGTGTTCAATACTCTGCTTATTCTGTAAATCTCTCCACAAGTGTTGTAGAATCCACTCCCGCACTGTTTCTCCGAGTATTTCCGTCCTCTTTCCCCCGGGAATTTAGTGTGTCCGTATTGTTAGTAACCCCTTAAAGTGCGCACGGACACATTTGGTAGCCCACTTGTGCCAGATCTTGTAGTTTTGGGCATCTTGTCACTGCTGGTTGTCACGGCAACTCTCAGCCGCGCAACAATTTGTGTCAGTCTTTTAGTGGGCTTGTGACCTTCTCTCCCTTGTCTGGTTTAGTGCTTGGTTAGATTGCGCTTTGAACTGTCACCATGGTGGCGCGTGGTTTACCATGGTGACGCGGTGCGTGGGTTATAGGCGTGATTTCTCTCCCAGCTATCAAGAGAGCATGTTCCAATGTGATAAAGCTGCCAATAATAGGGGTAGCAAGGTGCTGAAAGTTACTTTTTGTTATTATTGCCCACGTTGCGTGTTATCTGCCAGTTAGTCCTGTAGATGATTTTGTTGTCGTACTGTGGGCGCTAAATTTATTATCACTTAAAGCGTCTGCTGCCTTTAACAGTATTCGCTCTATTGTGTCTTTAAACATTTTATTGTAGGTGTCTCTTTTTGAGATTCTGTGTTGCTGCATCTCCAATTTAGGGAAATGATTTGTTTTAATAAGGAGAGAAAGTTGTTTGAGGGGAGCCGCTCAGACATGGGCACCGTATTGTGTAAATTATTTAGTTATATCTTACGCGATATCTTCGCCGCATAGGAGCGGGGTAGTACATTCTCGAATTCCATGTTTTGTCTATAATACATTTTACTTCCTCAGCCACAATGTCTCTCCACCCAAATGACCGGGACAAGAGATCCTTCAAAATGTTCCGGAAAATGAAGACTCCTTCCGCCTCCCCATTTATATCCCGTAAGGACAAAACATCCGACAAAAGTTCCCTTAAATCAGCTGACATAGATTCAATGAAATCCTCCGAATCCGAACTAGCAGATCCAGAAAAAACTCCAGACTTGAAAGTGAAAAGATCAGCCAAATCGCCCAAATTCAAATCCAGCTCACTCCGCAAGCTTTTCAAAAAACCTCTCTCAAAACGGAGCAAATCAACTCCGTCCAGCGACGTGAGCGAGACAGAAGTATCCTTTAACCACATCATCTGTAGTACTCCACTTATAAACCCGGTCCCTAACGACACTAGCTCCGTGATCACGGTAACCCCTGACAACAGCGCGGCTGGGACCCCAACACGTGCTATATCTAAACCTGTTTCCATCAGCATAGCCGCAGCTAACAGTCGACTTGAGAGGAAACGGGATCAGACTGACCGGTCGGATGAAAGTGGGATATTTTCACCCTCATTCCTGGAGGACCAATACGCTCCAGATCAGAATGTGTTCTCCCCTCCTCTCGAGGAACCGTTCACTCCTCCGGGCGTTTTTAAACAGAACGAGTTAGAATACACCCCACCTACTGCCTTTAAGTCAGAACCATATCTAAACGAGGTGGTGGGCGAGGGTTCTCCCAGCGACCCGATGTTACAGAGGGAGGGTAGTAGTGATAAACTGTTTAGAAGGTTGAGAATCCCGGCTATCGAGCTGACTGAACCGGGGATTAAGCCGGGGCTTGGTAACCTTGGTAACCACGTCGCCGCTGAGAGTAACTACAGTCTGGCTGATACTAAGTCCGTTGACTCTCTAAGAGATGTGAGTATTTTTAACATATATTTTAATTTTTACCCACTTAAAAAGTTTAACTCGACAACCGTTACAGAATTTGAGCTCAGCCGAGCCATGAAAGCTCCGATTTCCAATGTTGACTATTAAGTATACAGCGTTTCTCATCCAAGATTGTAACAGTTACAGTAAGATAAACTGTTGGGTGTATCAATCTTCTAAAGCAGATGTACCGGCAAATTTGTCGCTGGCAGTTAGCCAAGTCACAGTGCAGCACCAGATTGCACACTTTAGCACCAGATTGCACACTGCCCAATTAACACCACCATATAACATACGTCACCAGCACTACTGTGGTAGCCGGAATATTGAGCGCAGCGAGTTGCCATGACAACTAGCAGCCAGTCACTCGTGCAAACAGCTCATTTACTGCATTTGTCAGGAAGGCGTGCCTCAGTGTATTAGCTGTGTAAATTGTAATTCAATTTAGAACTGCAGTCTGCACACCATATAATCCACTTCTCTGTTTGCCTGCACACGTGCCTTTACTAAGTTGTTAGTTGTTAAAAACTATAGGTTTTGTAGCTGTGGTGGTAACTGTTGGTTACTGTTGGTAACTGATAGGTTGCCCTGGTAACTGTTGGTAACTGATAGGTTGCCCTGGTAACTGTTGGTAAAGGTTGTCAAGGTGGTACTGGAGTTACCTCCCATCATGCTGGGGATGATGCCCAGGTTGTGGAAGATTGGCTCTGCTCTGGTAGGTAACCACCGTATTCAGGATCTTTATAAATTCAGAAAGATCAAGAGAAATTAAACCCTTTTGAAATCTTTGAAACGGTATTTTCTTTAATAAAATGTATTCTATCATAACAGAATATTAACCTCATGGCTACGTGTCTGAGAGTTTTCATTGTATTTTTTACCACGTGAAATTAAAATATTCAACCAAGTAATATTGCTTTATAATAAACGGGGCACGCATATATTTAAACTTACCTAATAAAATTAAACAATTAAGTGAATCATACTACAGACTAGTATTATACTACAGAGGTACTCTTTCAATGACTGTTCGTAACGAACAGTAACGAACAGTGTTCGTTATATAATGCAGGAATAAACCCGCCTCAACAAAGTATAATGCCATATTGTGTTCCAAATTCTAATTGAAGTTTCCTTGCTGACGAGGCTATAAGTTACACAATCCTACAAACTGTGTAGTTTTAAGACGCGGGTGTGGACTCACTGTGCACCTGTTGTCATGGCAACACGCGCACCAGATGTGAAACTACCGTTCTTGTTCCGACACGTTCAACAAAGATCCTAACTCCTAAGTAGATCAAAGCTTTTCTTTTTCAGTTTGCACTATTCGCTTTACTGCACTGCATCTGTAAGACGGTGAAGTTTTGTTAAGTTCTCCTTTGATGATTGGATGATTTTGTTGCGTAACTTTGTCTTAATAGTCAAATTAGTCATCAGTATATATCATCAACGATTTCTTTACAATTTGAATATGTTATTGATATACTGTATGTCTCAGTCACCAGTTTATAATAAATCGGTATCTCTAAGTCTATGATGGTCAACTTTTTTTTATCAAATACTTTTCAAATTTTACAGAGTACAGCAATAAATGAACATAAAATAGAACCGTTCGAAAATATTGCCCCCACTGTAAAACATGATGGGCACCCAAACACGGTAATCACATAATAAACTATGTCCGCAATTACTTGGACCCATTACATCAAATATAATCAAAATCTAAAACTAAATATTCTGTGGTAAATAAACATTCGTCGGACTATAATATTTAACACAAGTATCATAATGTATTGCAATTGTTTGCATGAATTGTCTTGCAACTGTTTTAAATATTAGGGAATTAGAATGTGGCAGGGGCGAATGAATTGTCTTATCGAAATACAAATGGGGATGTTATGTTTTAATAGGTTAGGAATGGTTGGTTACTAATAATATAATATTCATACGATGGTGATATTTGGCCATTTGTATTGAGGTTATAAACATGTAACGATCGTTTTGTATTTCTCACAATTTTTCAAACTCTGTGTTACTTTGTTCTCTCACAACTTAAAGAATTCGAATTTCCCGTGTGATTTTTACACCCGTGCTTGTCAACAATTAATAATACTCTACCACAAATATCGGACAACAATTTTCCGAATACAATACTTTGAAAATTTTCATGAGGGTAAAAATATAATTTATTGTTACAGCAATACCAAATTGTCCCATTGCTATTCATTTTCATACGCGCGCGCATGATTTCTCCCGCACTGATTCTTGGTACTTACTACTCGGTACTTACTTACTGATTCTTGGTACTGTTGCAGTACTGCTATATATACGTACGGCGGCGGAATATCATTATGATTATTTAATGACTATAATCAACCAATTATCTAGCTGATCATCTAATTATCGTGCCGGTTATGCTAATAGCCTACTAAGCCTACCTCCTTGTATAGGATCTCCTGTAAGTAGATCTCGTGTATATCATATGGTTATTGGTCTGTGATTTAAGCTAGATTGCTTTTTGTTACATATTGTAATAACTGCTACTGATATTGTAATAATATCGCGATATTTACGATTTACGACTTCCGAGTTTTGCCATTTCCGTAAATTTCATTTTCTTTGCGACGCCATAGTTCGATTAGATATGCCCATTATATTGTTATCTTATTAACATGTGTGTGTAGGTAATGTGACAGAGTAATTAGTCCTACCCTTTAACTCATTCCAGTTCTTGTTGGTCTGTTATTCCTTGTCTTTGCAACTTGACTGTGTAATAATTTGGAGTCTCACTGGCATTTGATATCATGGCGTGTTAAATTATGACTTTTATAAATGTTGACCGTTAAAAATATGACGTGATGCCACCAATTTTTAACTGACATGATATGAACGAGTAAGGTTTAGTACTAAAGGTACTTCTATATAATAGTACTATGTTCTACTGTTTCCATGGTAGTGGTAGTGGTACCCAATGGAATGTTTCTATAGTAACACGATCTGTTTCTATAGTAACACGATAATACATACCTTATAAGATGAGATATTCCAATATTCATAATGCACCACAATCCAGCCCAATGTTTATAATTACTCTTATTCTTCCACTTTATAATCGTGTCAACGTGTCAGTGAACTAGTGGCGGCTGTTTTGTCCCTTTAGCTTAATGGCTTTCATAGCTGTGCACCGTGTGGGCCAGGCATTCTGACTTTAAGTTTGGGATGTCAAACATTCGATTTAAGTTGAATAACGATAATAAATTTCTGACCAATTTCGTTTGCTCGACTAGCCAGTAGCTGTACTATCCCAGTGTCTGTTTTGAGAAATTATTAAGAGGTTATTCTAGCCACCCAATCTTAACAAGTCATTCGCTCCGAGTCTTATCACAGCTATTAAATAATAGTCTGTGTTCTCAATTCTAGACAATCTGGATTCTGGACCCACAGTATCATCATAACAAAATAGTCCAGCACTTTATTTAACCAAGATAATAGACTGCAGTCTATTAGAGAGCATTCAGTGAGTTGTTAGTTAGATATTACCCTGGTTACCCGGCCCTAGTTACCTAAGTTACCCTGGTTTCCTGATCTGTCACCTTGTTAGCAGGTAGTTGATAATAAGGTGATTTGAAGTGTTCACTTAGTGACTGGTTACCTAGGTTACCTTATCATTCGTAGTCGTCTCCCCACTCTAGCTCCACTACATTGTAGGGCCGGGTAGTTAACAGCTTGAGTGGAGCAAAGTCTATGGAGAATGATAAGGTAACCTAGGAGCCTAGGTAACCATGCTTGACCATGTGCTGAGATGTCCAGATAATGGATATGCCTCCTTGGTATTTGCTTTAGTTAACCGCCTGGTTTGCAGCTTGTCGCGGTTAATTTCACTGTACTGGTATCTCGGCCCGGATCTGGTAGTACCCATTTTCACGTACCCAATTTGGGTGTGCTCATGTTGGGGTACGTCATAAGGTGGTTACCATGGTTACCATGGTTACCATGGTTACCCAGTGAAAACTGTGATTGGACGTGTCAGGATATGTTGGTAATCATAACCATATTTAATACCACGTCTAACTTAGAATATAATCCGCTGTCATAATCTCCAATCTAACTTAGAATGTAATCCGCTGTCATAATCTTCCAATCTAACTTAGAATATAATCCGCTGTCATAATCTTCCAATCTAACTTAGATTATAATCCGCTGTCATAATCTTCCAATCTAACTTAGAATATAATCCGCTGTCATAATCTTCCAATCTAACTTAGAATATAATCCGCTGTCATAATCTTCCAATCTAACTTAGAATATAATCCGCTGTCATAATCTTCCAATCTAACTTAGAATATAATCCGCTGTCATAATCTTCCAATCTAACTTAGAATATAATCCGCTGTCATAATCTTCCAATCTAACTTAGAATATAATCCGCTGTCATAATCTTCCAATCTAACTTAGAATATAATCCGCTGTCATAATCTTCCAATCTAACTTAGAATATAATCCGCTGTCATAATCTTCCAATCTAACTTAGAATGTAATCCGCTGTCATAATCTTCCAATCTAACTTAGAATATAATCCGCTGTCATAATCTTCCAATCTAACTTAGAATATAATCCGCTGTCATAATCTTCCAATCTAACTTAGAATATAATCCGCTGTCATAATCTTCCAGTCTAACTTAGAATATAATCCGCTGTCATAATCTTCCAATCTAACTTAGAATATAATCCGCTGTCATAATCTCCAATCTAACTTAGAATATAATCCGCTGTCATAATCTTCCAATCTAACTTAGATTATAATCCGCTGTCATAATCTTCCAATATAACTTAGATTATAATCCGCTGTCATAATCTTCCATTCTAACTTAGAATATAATCCGCTGTCATAATCTTCCAATCTAACTTAGAAATCTCAGTCGTTATTTAGCCTCTAATTTAGGTCAGAATCAGAGAGATAATTACTCGTGATCTCAAATGATTTTGTG